CTACAAGCGTAATCTCGGCAAACGTTTCGTTCACTATAGGGTCGTGAAATTACACGCCGAGCGACAAGAAGCTCGCGCAAGAAGCCCAAGAGGAATTCATGCACGTTCGTTGGCACAATGGATCCTCGAAGGATTAGAACGTTGCTCCGGCGAGATAACAGTTTTCTGTTATCCTTCGGCTTGTTTAATTTTCAAACACAATGGAATAGTAGGTATCGGGATATCGATCGTCTAGGAAAAGTTCAGGGTAGCGAGTTTATCCGACGATCAAATTGGCATATTGCTGACTGACGATAAGTTACATCTTTGTTTTCCCGGCTTCAGCGGTGAGCAATGATTTTGACCGCACGAAACCTGTGACTCAGTTACATCTCTGCTATTCGGTGCTCCGATATCCATTGTGCCGCCTCTTATCTTCTCCTCGCACCTAGTAAATCGTCAACGAGGAAAGGACAGTATCTGGACAGTGGGAAAATTGTTTAGATAAAAGCGAAATAGGATAATGGTTATACAAACAGTACGAATAATTGCTTCGGCGAATCTAATAGAAACGGATATCTCTTCTTCGATGCTTCACAGATTCTATCACGCAGAGTAAATAGAAACTCATCGTTTCTCAAGAATAGTCATTTGGTCGGATCCAAGACCAAAATCTTGATAACATTCGAGAAATCTCGATAAACAATTCCGTTGATTCGTTGGTTTATCGTAGCTGACTAAGAGCAACAACTTTCTAAACAAAGCGACAGATCTCACCGCGTAATCGAAGATGTCTCTGTTAAAACTCTGTTATCACAGTGTATCGATTCTCCAGTTACAAGGAATTCACGTTGTGTAATTAACAGAAAGAAAAAGAAAAGGGAAAGGGAAACGACTAAACAAGACAAAAAATTATATAATTCCAGAAAATCTACTATTATTCGTAATACATTGGTACAATGGACGTCTGTTTAAAGTAAAGAAAGGAGAAAACATTGAGATAATTTGGAACTGCAAATCGATGTGGAATTCTACCAGGTTTCTGATAACTGCACGTTAACAAGATGGCTGGCTCCGCGAGGCATCATCGGAAGCGAATATTTTAGTTAAACCGCGGCAGCCAGCGTTTGTCTTTCGCTTTCGGAACGATATCAACCCAGTAACCGACTTTCCAGTTGGCGGCAACTCCTTCGGGGCTCTTAAGACTGAAAAGTTCCGCCTACGGAAAGAGGAGAAATAACAGCGGTCCTATCAATCCGTGAAAACATCTTAAGCGTGGGCTCCGCAGTGAAGAAGAAATATTATCGGAAGTGGAATAACGTTTATCGGAGCACGGCTCCTTTATTCCCGTTCGAGATTCGCCCAGGAGGATGAGTAGCTGGCGATTTTTCTTTCGTCGGCAAGCTAATGGCCCTCTCATCCTTCGTTTTCTCTTATTTTTTTTCCATTTTTCTTTTTTTGTTTTCGTTGTTAATATCGCGACACCATTTTGTAGACGCCGTGAATAATACAGGCATAAGTAGGATATTTTATTGGGAAAAAAGTTCATGTTTATATTTTTAAGTACTATCGCTGTACTATCATATTTTTTTATTGTGCGCATTCAAAATTTGAAAATTGTAATTTTATTAAATAAGGCAAATGCGTTAACGCTAAAATTATTGGCAATCGAAACGTAAAAAAAAACTTGCAGCCGGAAATCAGGAAGAGAAACATAAAAATACACAAAGTTTCATCCATAGTTATCGTTAGACTATCCGTAGGTTATCGCACATCGATAAAACATCTATGAATAGTGATGAACGTACAGTTGCAGCGTTGAAGGGAAACAAAAGATTGAAGAGTACTAAAACTAATTCTATTTTCCAATCAAAGAAAAGAAAGAAAAAAAAGAGGAGGAAAATGAAAACCCCTGAAAGAAACCATGCTCGATACTCACGTAATATCTGTGATTCAAAGACATCTCTTGGCTTCTATGGTTCCTCTTGCGCCGTACTTTTTCTAAATTAGAAGCCTCTACGGAAGTTTGGCAAGATGCTCGCAGAAACGTTTCTGTACATCTTCTTTCTTCTCTAATCCCTGGCGCATCCGCGCTGTGTCTTCTCCTGTCGAAAATGGATCACGAAAATATACGACGTTTCTTATCCACGGCCCGCTACGTCCTCTTCCTCTCTTCTCTATTTTCTCTCCCCGTTTCCTTCGCTTTCCTTCTACTCCCGCCTGCTAATCGATCCGCGTCAGTCTTACGTGTTTATTGTCGAGGTTGCAGTTAATGTCTGGTCTCCTCATTATTGTCGTTTTTTCCCTGGAATTCGTGTCGCGTGCGCATCTGGGTCACCTGGGCCGCGGCTCCCTTCCGTCGTTGGCAATTCGGCTCGGATTTTCCTTTCAGACCCGGAGAATCCTCCTATGGAAAGCATCCACCGTTTGATAACGTAAATTGGCGAGCCGATCGGGGCTGATCGAGTCGCGGAATCACGAACGAGCCAACGATTCTTAACGCCGACTATGTAAAGTTACGTGAGCATAAAAAGAGAGATTCGGTAAATTAGAAGGAGCAAGAGAGACGAGTTGCAAAAAGAAAACAGGCTCCTAGTCTCGGTGGCTCCTGTGGCGTGGCCATGACTCGAAGAAGAATCAGGAAAGCAACGTGACTGGAAGAAATCCGAGGCGAAACAGTCGGAAAAGAAGCTTAGAATTAATCGTACGGCGAGGCAAGCTACCGAATTTCTAGCCTAGTTACCGTGCACAGAGGAGTTCGCGCGAAACATCCTCGAATCTGCTTCCGGATTACACAATGAAAATTTGGAAACCGACGAGGATCGCAGGATTCCAGCACGAAGATGGTAGATCGGCGCAGAACGAAATTAATTTTGCCTCGTGGCAAACAGTCGAACTTGCCGTTTTCTCTCTAATTCTAACTGCATCGCTTAAAGAATCTTCGCAGTGTACTAACAGGAAGATTCCAGCAAACGAACGTAACTAGTCTAGGAGAGATACTTTTCCCAAGTGCACTTCTCGCACGAGCGAGTTCCACGTACACCCTCGTTCGTAAGCAGCTTTCTCGTTTTCTCTAGTTGCTTCGATCAATCCTGGCGCTCGTCTTGTTAACATCCCTATCCAATATCTCTGTCTTTTCGTATTTCGTTGCAACCTTCGATACGGATTCTACGCCGAACCATCCGGTTCGCGATATTTTTCCACGGGATGCGAGTTAGAAACGACTGCAAGGGCGAACTCGCGCGATTCTTAATTACGTTCCTCCTCGAATTCTGGCGGATGGATTTTCTCGATTGTTTTGTATCGTTGTCCCGCGTGAATGCTAGATCGTGGTGAATCGATCGCGTTAAAGTTCTGCAGACCAGGTGTTCTAGTACTTGTGAATGGAAGAGTACATACGCCACGCGGTATGAATTCTACTTAGGTGGCTCGTTCTTCAACTAATCTTTCTTCCGACCATTGAAACAAAAAAAATACCTCCACGTATGCCGAGAGACATCTGTCCGAGTTCCTTCTGAAAACTCGCTCGATCTTGTCTCGCTGTCTCGCTTGGCCTTCTATTATGCGTTCGCCGCGCGAGAATGTGCTCGTTCTGCCAAGTCGATCCGCATTCTGCAGGTCGACCGCTCGGCCGCGCGAATCTCTGAATTCCAAGGCGGTTGTCGCGCGGCTTGGAAAAAAATGATTTTAAAGGACGCGTTCCACGACTCAAGAACAAGATGCTGCCAGCGGAATGCATATTTACGGTCATTTTTCCATACCACGACCGGCTCGAGCTATCCTCTCTATGTGTGTGTGTGTTCCTTCTTTTTCGTCGCGAATCCGCCGCGCATTTCAACGCGATTCCCAGGCAAAATATGGAAAATCGTCGTGTGGCTTTCGCCTCGTGCCATAACACTCTTGTAGGATAGTGAGCTATCCATAGCGAATATATGCATCTTCTCCTTTTCTTTTTTTTTCCTTTTTTCCTTTTTTTTTCAAGAGCATTTCATAACGAAAGCTACGGGCGAATGTAATCGGTTATTGAACGCGGATGATCGCGCGCAAATATAGAGGCGAACGCTGGTTAAGAGGAGAACGCGAACTTTGCATATGAAAGGACCTGCAAGATTCTAGGCAAGCTCGAAAGTGTGACGAGGAAACGCGTTTTCACGATAGAAACGCGGATCTTTGCTTTAAACGAGGCGCGGACGAAAAAGCGTTTAACGGTGGATGGACGTTAACTTTGCACGACTAATCGTATTTTGTTGCAAAGAACGACCGGTTAGCGAGTTTCTCTGATGAGAGGAAAAATTCACGGTGTGTCATTTCGGAGCCCTTTGAACCGCTGCAAGTGAATTTTCTTTTGAAAGCTGACTGCGCAGCCAGTTTTTTACGACGCAGTTTCCCTTTTAGAAGCAGCTACCAGCGAGATGGTGCTCTTTATATTCTAATTTCAATGGAAAGAACGTTGGACCAAGGTGGCCTGATAATACGTAACTCTTCTCTTCCCTCTGTGTTTGCGGAACATCTTATCGACGTCGTAATAGCTCGGAATTATCCTAAAGTTCAACCTTAACGTCAACTCTCCTTCTGTCCTTTCGCTTTATTACACCGTTCGAAACAATTAGCGGACGTCGCGAATGATTTTATCGCGCCATTCACGCGTATAGAAGCGGAGAATCGCTCGCAGACTCGATAAGTTATGTATTATTCAGGCGATGGTTTTACGCTGTAGCTTCGAAAGAGGAAAGAAAAGGCGAGACGTGTGGTCTAAATATTCTATCGTTGCCGCTATAATACGTTCTATCACAGTTGGAGGTTGTTTCATGACTGTAATAAACTTCGACTTTAAGACGATCGTTAAAAGGATATCAATGCGAGAATCGAAACCACATAGAAAATAATCCTTTAAATCTATCTAAATAAGAAAATAATCCCAAGTCTATGATTCTTCAAAATACGATATTTGTCTAACTTCTTAAACTGCTGTAAATTTGCTTAAAAAAAGGAAACAAAAGTACGAGGCGACCGCAATGTCTCGATCGAACCTGACACGAATTATCTTCAGCGGTGTATAATTCGACGATGTTTTTAAACGAATGTCAGACGCCTTTTGTGTAAAGTAATATTTTATCGACGTTAATCTTCGCTTTTCCAATCAAAATAGAGGAATCAAGGGAGAAGACGAGTCGTCGACAGGATGCTGGAAATTCCTACGGCTCGATCGAACCGGAAATCGCGGCCTTTGAGCGCTCGCGTTCGCGCGCTGTCGCGAGCTTATCGCGCGACGAGCAATAGCAGCCGGTCGCGAACGCGCTGTGCAAAGAATAAATAGCTTGCACGCGAAACGTCACTTTTATGGGCCGGAGCTTTTAGTCCCCGCTGTAAAAACGTCGCAGTCCATTAGTACTCGCGACGATACGAACGTCACCGCGGCTCGCTGCGCATGCAAAAATTCACCGGCCGCTTAATAACATTTTCTCGTTCGAACGTCTCGACGGATAGGCCATGACCATGTACCGGGTGTTGGGAATACTTTTTCGTAAGTAACTACATAGTAAAACTGAACTTGGACACGTCTGCTGTAAACAGAGATTTCGCGTTTAAATTTTAAATGTCGATACTGGTAAACGAGGGAAGATGGTAATCTTTATGGCTACCATCTTCGCATTCGCATGCAAATCTCGTCGATCGTTCACTGTTTTTAAGTGAGCGAATGAGTTATCGGAAATGGAAACGGGATTTTTAGTCTCCGCGTGTGTTGCTTGCTTGATGCTTTAAGGCTATTTATACTATCGCTCGTAAATGTTAGGACATTCGTGGAAAATGAGCTACAATCATTAGGAAATTATTGAAATCTCTTAGAATTACTATCCCGGTTGGCATCTTAGAGTATAAGGAAGTTGTGTACACCCGGAGTATGAAGAAGTACACATTCAATAAAATGTTGGAATAAGTATCTCATCAACTGTGTATAACAATAAAATAAAATTCTTGCTCGCTTCAACGTGTGCACACACCGTAACACATTCAGCTTATCCGTTTCAGTTTTCTACCCTATTTATCCTCAATTTCTCGCACATTTTATCTAACATTTATCCTACGATTTCTACCAACTTTTTGCTTCCACAGCTTCTCAATACCATATTTCAATTACCATATTTTCTACTAAACCAAACATCTCGATACTTAGAAACGAATATACCTACATTATTCCACGTTAACTCGTGGATGACTCAAGGAAGCAGCAAAAGCTCAGTCCGCGATGCTACCAATTGCGATCAAAGAACGCACCAACGTCGCAAAATCGATGACGCCTTCCAACCCCATTTTCACGATTCCCTAATTTCCCCCTAAAAGACGAAAAAAGCAGAAAAATACGTAAAAAGAGGGAGAATCGGCGTGCAAAGAGGAGAAAACGTTGGAAAAGGAGGAATAGAATCGAAGCAATTTTTCTGCGATCTCTTGTGTGTGTGGACGATGCAACGAGTGTTGGCCCATATCGCGTCTATTTTCGCGCACGATGCGATCGTTTCGCGCGAACGAAGGTCTCGGGGGTGGTTGGTCGGGTGAGCCGCGAGGCAAGGGGTTGGTTCACGGTGGCCCGGTGGCACGATCAAGGGGAAACTCGACGGAAAGTTGGGCAAAAGCAAAAGGGAGCGCCGCGGCCGGAGATAGCGGTGGCACACACGCCGCTGCTCCTATTGTTCTTCGTTTCTGAGAGGCCGAAGCGCTGCCAATATCGGAGCGTTCCGGCGCAATATCGGGTCACGAGGTCCGGCCCTGTTTCTGGCAGACGGTGATAACTCAGTCGACGACGCACCCACGCCGCACAACCGTCCTCCTCGCCGTCGCCGTGATTCAATTTACCGTAATTACCCACGGATTAGCCTTTCGATACGCGACCCTTGCAACGCGTCCGCCGGATTAGAGAAGAACGAGTCTTCCTCGACGAGGATCATCTTTGGCAACAGTGGCAACTTTGGTCCTCGTTTCCAACTTCTCTCGGTACAGGTGCAATTTGCAATTGAAAAGTTAAATAGATGCGAGCGAAAATTTCACGCCATGGCAAATAACAGGAATTTGATCTCACAGCAAACTTTAATCCCCAAGTTTTCAAGTTTTTGGCTGATTTTTTATTTAGATATCGCATATGGAAATTAAGCGAGTCGTATGATTTGCACGTACATGGAATGGTAACAGGGCGAACGTTCGTTCTATCTTTGAAGTTATTTTTTAGCAGATCGTTAAAAATCAAAGAATGGGACAGAGTGAGTTTTATAATACATTACGACATTAACGTTGGAACTCTCGAACAAGACTCGGGACCTACACGCTCGCTGTATACCGAAATCATTCGATGAATCCGCATCTATTTATCAAAGTCGACAAAGAATTCTCTGTCTACCTAACTAGAACCTCATCTCTGCTGCAGCTCACGATCGTGCGACAAGCAAAGATCCACGCTGTTAGTCGCCAGCAGCTATTTCAATCTCGTCGTCCTCCATGCAAACTCGATAGCCGATGTTATTCGATTGGGGGCGAGAAGCTCTCGCGTCTTCTTAGTCGACCGATCGGTGGTGGGTCCTTGATCTCCCTTGGCGAAAGAGCGAGAGGAGGAAAACGAGCAGGAGACGTGGGTGCGGCTTAAGACTCTCGTTGCGGGAAAGAGGGATCAAAAAGTTTTTATCCAGCCGCCGTTTCATAACTTATTCCTGTGTACGAGCGACGGGTACACTTTGTGAAGGCTGGCAGCGAGCACAAAGAGGATCCTCTTTTTATTCGCCGCGGCCCCCGCCACAAATCCTACAAACGAGCCGGGACAAATTATGTTCTCTCGCTCATTTTTTCCTTTCTCCCTCGTTCTCCGGTTCCTTTTCTAATTACCCATCGGAAGGAATTACTCGTCGCAAGGATAGCGTACGCCAAAGGCTGAAGAAACGATGACTGGGCAGAGAATAAGCGCGGAAGTTTAAATTTCAGATCAAATTGTCGTGTCTCGAGACAGATGCTAAAAAATAGTATGATTATGGGGACTATTATTTAAGCGGAAGAACGTGATGGATCCGTTTGAAGTGGAAAGTGGAATATCTTGAGCATTTTTCTTCCGTCTTCGCTTTAAAAAAGATAACTCGACCTAGTTTCTCACAAGTATCTCTGTATATGCACGCATGCTGGATAATAAAAGACGAAGGAGATAAAACGGTGAATAAAAAAATGGGGGAAAGAGGGAATGGGATGATAATTAGGACGAAGGATGAAGGAAAAGTGAAGGAGTGGGAGGAAAGGAACGAAAGTAACACGCGTTAAAGGAGACGAGATATACTGACGGAGAAAGTCCTAGGAAGTAGGTAAATTAATCCTAAGTCCCGAGGAAATTTTACGTGCTGCAAGTGCCTAAAATAAAAACCCACGACTTACTAGCTTCATGGCAGAATGGTTTAGTTCGAGACTACCACGAAGAAAACCAGTGTTCGAGCCTCGCTTTTATAATCCTCCGAACATTTTTCACGATAATTAACGATCCTAATCGAGGCTTCCGACCTTTCCCACTAACACTTTTATAGAGCAATAAAATCTCGGCTATAAAATTTAATTGACAATCTAAATGGCGAATTCAGTTCTGAAGTTGCTGCAGAGTTTCTGTATCTAAGTTTCTCACGGAGTAAATTAAGTCCAAGTTCCGAAACAAGTATCGCGAAGTTGGAGTTGCAGAAATTTCTTCGAATTAAAATACCGTAGTCTAACAAGATAGTAGAAAGGTGGTACGAGGGAGGGGGGTGGTAGTAGAATAATTCTAAACTACGACTGTAACGAGATCTCGAAATTTTCAGTTAAAAGAAGTATGCGAAACATGGAAGGAAAATATTAAAAGCAAATAAGAATTTCTCAATGAAGTTAAGGAAAATAAAAGATTTTCTTCTCAGATCACTGGCGGAATTGCGAAAGAGCACGAGATAAAAGAGGATTCATTTAGAAAGAACAAGTATAAAAAGTTTTCAAAATACTTGAGAAGAAAATGAGAATGAGACGAAGAACGAGTAAAAAGTACAAAATATACTAAAAATGGAAACGAGCAGAGAGGGGGGGGGGGATAGAACCGAGCAAAGTGTAAAAAATATTCCATGTACAAGAGGGAAACTAAAGACAAGAAATACAAAGCAGAGCATCCATAACTGGAGAGTAAGTAAAAAATGTAAATGTAGAAAAAGGGAACAAGAAAAGCAGGATAAAATAGCAAGAAAAATGGGAATTTAACGTTTATAGAAAAAGATAATAAAACGCACCATTAAATGCATGCTTTAGATACTGTAAAAAATTTGAAAAAGTAGCGGATCAAAGTGGAACAACGAAATACGATTGAAAAATAAAAATCGTGAGAAATACGAGTTCGGTAATGTCCTGGTTAACATGCAAACGCTTACTTTAATACGCTTGTTTTTAAAGCGGTTCGTCTCGACGCGGGAAGAATTTAGTCCGAAGAATTCGACGAATTAACGATCAAATTTGCCGGTGGATGTTGCAGAAAACGTGCTCTGTTTCTGACAGGGTCTCCTGCCTCGTGTAATTGATGGGCTCTGATCGATGCAATTGCAGTCACGAAGACCATCTTGTTCAACGCGGCGCCATTCAATCTTTCATTATGCAAATTCATTCGGTCATTCAACGAAAATCAACACACCTCATAACTCTTGCTTCCTTCTTTATTCTAAAAATAGCACTTGCTCTTTTCTTAAAATGAACTTTCATCGCAAACATTCTGCGAACGTTGCGAACGTTGGCAAAAAAAAAAAAAAGAAAAAAGAAAATTCGTGACAGCCGATCGACACAGTCGAAGGCCAACAAATAACGAGAAATTCGTAATTAAAGGCTATTCAACGGCAAAAGCGGAACGATTGGGCGCTTCAGGAAACGGCTTAATGAACCTATAACGCAGCGGTTTATTGGCGGAAAAAGTCTACTAAGCGCGTCCCTGAAATTGCTTCCTGATCGAAACTAATTGACCGTCGAACAGCTGCGCTGTCGCGCGTGTTTTTCCACGTCGAATCGAATAACGCGCGACATAAACCGCGATTATGTCGTACGATGTTTCGCGGATTGACTTCCGCGTCGCTTCATTCAGCAAGCCGACTTTGATTCACTGTAACATTTATTAAATCGTTCGTCGTCGGGAAGATATATTAAATACTTAGAGTACATCCAAATAACGAACAGAAGCTGAAGCACGATATTATTTAATGTTCGGTATATATCTCGGCCTTATACAGGACAAGGATTCAGAGTGCTCTCTTTACCAGGAAATTAAACCTCGCTTCAAACGAAGTCTACAAAGTGCCTCGTTCCTCCAGATTTACCTATTAAACAACATAGAAAGATCTTCCGATACTTTCAACACAGGATTCCAATCCTTTGAATATATCGCCTGTTACTAAAGTTACCTTTATTCCTCACCAGCAACATATTCTTTTAGCAACTCAGTTCTTCGCAGTAAACGCGTCTTGCATTCACATTGTCGTATCAGTTTCAAATTTTACGAATACG